ATATATACCTTTAAACATCTTTCTGTTTTGCCTATATAACTACCAAGGCATCCTGGACATTTGAATCTGTATATTAAAGAGCTACAATTCTCTTTCGGTGATGATGATGAGGATGATAATAATGATGAAAATGAGAATTATGACAATAGCGATAATATTAATGCTAATAATGATGATGAAAATATGCATGATGATGCATGTGATAATGTAAATAATATCGACGACGATGATGATGCTGATGGTAATAGTGAGAAGTTAATGGTGATTAGGATGGTCGAAGATGATAATGATGAGACGACAAAGATAGGAGATGATGATAATGATGAGACGACAAAGATAGGAGAAGATGATAATGATGAGACGACAAAGAAAGGAGAAGATGATAATGATGAGACGACACGGATACGAGAAGATGATAATTATAACGATAGTGATGTGATGAGGACAATAAATACACAATTATATGTGAGGAAGACACATGAGGATGATGATAATGATGAAAATGTCATGTTGGTACATACTTCGTCGACAGAAATACTTTTAAATTTGCCATCAGATAAAGGTTGTGACACTTCCATTCGTCTGTCTTCACCATTTACATCGGAGGATTCAATTTTACTGTTAGTTGCATTATGATCAGTCCAGTAAATCCTATTAAATGCAATATGATACTAGTCTTAAAGCTGATAGAATAATTCAAAGAATAAAAAGGTTAGAATTAACTATAATATAAATAATAAGAATGATATTCCGAATGATGATGATGGTCATATTAATAATAATAATAATAATAATAATAATAATAATAATAATAATAATAATAATATAATAATAATACTAATAATAATAATAATAATAATAATAATAATAATAATAATAATAATAATATAAATCATCTTATACTACGATTTATTTGATATAGGTTTTACAAAGAAAGCAGAAATTAAAATGTAATAATAATATGATAATGATGATGATAAGAGGCCTATATATACTAAAGAGAATTAAAAAAAATCTTTTAGCAAGGGTGGTCCATACAGCGAATATGATGCCTTGGAACATTATTCTCTAACATTGTTTCATGTTTTTTAAAGTCGGTCGTTAATAACGATCCATGTGAGAGCCATGGAATCATATCGGTACAGTGTGTGCCCTGCTTAACATTCCTCTGCTAAGACTTCCCCGAAAACATACAAATGCAGTACCTGTTAGTGATAGTATCTACTGCTATAGCCGTTGGTTCGCTAACAAGTGTAACAATAGTGACTCTATTTCCTCCTGAAAGAGATGATCTTTCAATCTTAGCCGGATATTTATTCCCTAATTCAGTCCAGAACAGATACCTTAAATAAGAAAGATAATTTTAAGTGGACGAAAATCGGCACTGAATCATCGCATTATAGCCACTTTTGTTAATAGGAGTTCAGTGTGGAGATACACTTCCAGTAGCAACAGTAGAAGCAGTATCCTTGGTAATTTCTTATTTTAATTGGCTGTTTTTTTATACCAAAATAAATAAAATACAAAAATAAAATAAATTTGAATGTATACATACCCTTCTATAGGATGGCAGGCTATCCCAGACGGCCTTTCGAGACCTAAATCAACAATCAATGATTCTCCTTCTCCAAGATAATTCGTCATTTTGATCCAATTGTAACCCTCGTCCACCCAGTACACATTCTGAGCCAACCAGTCAATTGCCATAGCCTCCACTCTACCAGAGGTTCCACCTTCAATTGGAAAAGCAAAGCCGCCACCAGGAGTTCCAAAATCCTCACTTAAGTATATCCAGCGGTTTACTTTATCATGGAAAGTAACATTTCCTGTATGGTAATCAGCAGCTACTGAGGTCCAGTAGTGTGTGGACTTAGTATAGCTGCTATTATATATTAACGTCATGTCATTTTTGTAGGATTCTGGATTTGCAGGAAGCCAGGCAATATACGTCACAGGATACTGGTAGATTGCCAAAAACAGTGTATTTCCTTTATCCTTTCCAAAAGCTGTAAGTTAACACAACGTAATATCAATGAATTAAACATTTTGAAGTTGAGCCACCGAAAGGCATTGTCCATTGTATACATTTACCAATGATTGTCAATGACCATCACTTGCCTTCATCGAGTTCTAGATGAATGGATAGAACGGCCGTGAAATTATTGGAACCTGTTTTCTCGACATATCTAAATGCTTTGACCCTATTAACCATGCCCTTCTTCTAACTAAATTAGAAATTTATGACATCAAAGATATTAAAATTTAATGGTTTAAAAGTTATCTTTCACAGTACAAACAAGTTGTAAAAAACAATTATGAAAAAGCAAAATTAGCGTTTAAATTGGCATCCCACAGGACTGTGTGTTAGGACAGATCGTATTTTCATTATTCATAAATGACCTACCCCAGGGATCTTGGGGCATATTGCGGATAATGATGTTGTCATCTACTGATAAATGTGTGGATAAATTTAACATCAAACGTCAATCGATAATGTCGAAAATTGGTATAACTTTAACAAACTTATGTTAATAAAGAATAGAATAGAAATATTCGCCCATATTCCACGTTTCCACGAGTATTTATGTTGGTGGTAAAATAAGTTTGATGAAAATCTTAATTGGAATGACCATATTAGACAATTAAATAAAACTAATTGGTACAAAATTAACACCCTAAATAAATTGACAGAAACACTAAATGAATCGGATTTAAACGGAAAAAATGTTTGAACAGGTCAGCTCAATTCGATATCTTGGTGTAATTAGATGAAAAACTAACTTTGAGTAAACACATTGTGCATTTAACCAACTCACTAGACAAGTAAACTTTTTAATGTTCTAAATCGAAACCTTTTAGAAACTTAGTACAAAACAGGAATCTTAGTACGAAACATGAACTGAAAACGGCAATGTTGGATCGAGGGAGCTGGAGAAGGAACTTCGTCTATGTCACCGATAAAGTCGGATGCGGTTAAGTAAGTAAGTAAGTAAGTAAGTAATTACAAAACTACAATCCAACCTTGTCTTGAAAAAAATATAAAAGAAATATTTTTTTGTAAAGATTTCTTTCAATTTTTTCATCATTGACTTACAAGTACAATTAGACAAATTTAGTAATCCCTACGTGAAGACGTGATTTAATTTTTAACATCTTTTTTATATTTCTGTCGATTTATTTAATCAAATTTTAAAACACACCATAATGAAAACTCAATCGGGTACATTTTGATCTACATCGTATGCATGAACGCACTCACCACCGGCCACACTAAATTGCATGTATGCTATTCGCTCAAAGCGGATGAAGTCATTGGAAGTACTAGTAACACAGGGTAAAAACGATTTTAAAGGAAAATGGTCACTGGTCTCTTAACAAATTACAATTAGATGTATATGACAAGAAAGATTACTTTATGAGCTACTCTTAACCGTTCACCCAAAAGCGCTCTATGGTTGCCGAGTTATGTGAAGCAGAAGTAGTTAGTACACCAAAAAAAATCTAATTTCAGCCTTTTTCCTATACAAAGTCAAAGCTGTTGCCAACTCTGAAAAAAAAAAATGCTGACTCAATTTTGCATTGATTATAAAAATAAATAGATAATTATTAATCTTAAAAAGTCTAGTTTT